AAAGAGAAAAAGCATTCCCCGTGGGGAATGGTCCCTCCGTAGTCCCTTCTCTGTCTCTCTCCTTTTGGAATTTTGGGCGCACATGCACATGTGTGCTGGCGTGTTTCCCAAGCTGCCTGGTCAGATTTGAACCGTGAGGTCGGCCATGTTGGATCGCACTGTCTCCACACCACTGGCCGGCCCACGACCACCGTCTTCTTAACACACTAGATAAATACAGTGCTCCTGAAGTCTCACGAGAATGGCATGTAAACGGCCTTGTGTCCGCGAGTCTGCTTCCAGACATGTACACTGCTGCGGTGGGTGAAACAGGTTCTTATCTTCAGTTGCAGATTCTCTGTCCTGTCCTGTTTTGCAAAATGTTCAGCCTCCCACGTGCAGCCCAGGAGTGCCCGCTGCGTTGTCAGGGACCTTGGCAGCAAGAGCCCCTCCTGCCACAAATCACCCTGTCCGGTGTGTGGCCTCCGTCCCCGCGCCATCAGAGCTGCTGCATCAGAAAGGTAAGTGGGACTCGCTGCGTCCCTGCAGTCACACACGGTGACATTCGGGTCGCTGATTTTAGAGCGTCAGACTCTAACCATAATTTATAGAAAATCCGAAAAGTAATTCATAATCTTAACCCAAATGCAATTTTTGGGATCTGTGTGTTAGCTCCCAGTATCTGCCTGTGATTGTGTACCTGCGTGATCATATATTCCAATTTGCATTTCACTTTTAGATTTATTCAATTATTTATAGTTCTTCATATAACTGCGTAGTTTTGTTAACCGTTTTTTAAAGCTAATTATTGTGTTCCTGTATTATAGTTTAGGAATTCAGCCATCTGTCCTGGGACACTTATTTCCTATTTTTAAAGGTTATTAGAGTTGGGCCAGTGGGTGGTATGGAGGTTAAGGTAGCTGAAACTCAGGTGGCCGACTGCAGTTCGCGTCCTGGACCCTTTTGGAGACAGCACCTCCGGCAGGTGGTGGTACAGCCCCAGCTGCCCCATGGCCCACCCTGCCCCGCACCCAACCGCCCCCAGACCAGCCTGGCAGAGCATCTCAGCGCTGTGTGCTGCTGTCTGCCCTCCCCGGTCTCATGTGATTATTTTACGTTTGTTCCCAAGTTGATTCATTTATTTTACCATGAGTGGGAGAGACAAAGGCTGCATCCCCATAGGGTCTTGATACTCCAGTCCACCCCAGCTTCAGCCAACCCAGCTCACGGGCACGTGCATGCCAGGCAGACTCAGGTCTCTGGACTTGAACCGGAAACCTTCCCATGAGGCACTGACTCTGGGAAGTCACCGCCTGGCCCCCGGTCCTACTTCACGTACCGTCCTGCGTCCTACCTGTAAATGATTCTTGGTAAACCACTTTCCCACTGACAGTCACAGTGGCAGTCCTGTACTTAATGGCCGTGAGAAGCAGGCCCTGTTTACCGAGTAGACAGCACGCCACGGTTGTCGGTGTCCCCCGCCCCAGTTTATCCCTGGGACACAGACTCCAGCGCTCCTGGGCGTGGAGCAGTGAGATTCACGGAGGGGTAGTGTGCTGAGACCACGGCTAGTAGGCGGCAGAGCGCGAGGTTTTAAGCCCACACCTGTCTTTGACTCTCCAGGACGTGAGGCAGCATTTTTGCTGACTGTTGACGAACGCCTGATTTACTTAAAATAAGCTCCTCAGAAATAAGAGGAGATTCCGAAGACATTTGACAAGCGGCTTTCTGTTCTCATTGGCAAGAGGACGCCTGTGCTTTCTGGGGGCGACTGGGGCCGGGGTGGGTGCATCTCCTGTGCACCCATGGGAGATGGCCATGCCTCGACTTTCCTTCACGCGTCCCCCTGCAGGCTTTTCGGGTGTGCACACGTGTGCAGCTGCTGTGTTTCACCAGTTGCCAGATCCAGGGCTCGAACCGAGTGGTCAGCCACGTGGGAGCCACCTCCTCGCCCACTGTACCGCGGCCGGCCTGACTTGTACCTTTCTTTGTTCCTTGTTCGTAGGTAGGAGGTTGGCCTCTTAGTGGCCGCGTTACCTTTGGGGAGACACGGGGTACACGCCTAGCCGTTTGGGAGTTGGGGACAACGCGCCTGGCCGTGTCAGCGTGGTTGGCATGGGTGGAGCCTCGGGGTTGTGGAGTATGTCACCGGCATGGGGTGCTGTGGGCCTGCGGTGACTCGTGCCGAAAGGGATCCTCTCAGTGGCAGGGTGGCCTCGACTGTCACCTCTGAACACTAGACATTGTTTTTATTGGTTCAGAGAGGTGAAACTACAAATTTTTGCTTGATGATCCCCTAAAAATTTTTGAAAGATCTATGTACTACTTAAACATTTTTTAAAATTAACGTAGAGTATTTTGTAAAAAATTTAAATAGTTGCAGTGATATAATTGTGACCATAGTCTACATGTTGCCTCTTAATATAAAAGTGTTCTTTGAAATGATACCTAGCACCATCCTTTTTAAAAAATGCACAAAAACAAACCCTGCTTTAACATTTGGAAAGTTGCACATTTTTCCTTTTTTTCCTTGAAGTCATTTTCTTTTCCCCAAATATCAAGTTTTTGATGTATTTTTGCATTAAAAATAAACAGAAGAATGCACCATGACTTTCCCGATGACCTATCACAGTACTGTAATACGTCCTTAAACTAGAAACTTCGCTAAACTTTTCTACCACAATAATAAACAAATTTAAAATCTTGTTTTATGGGCCAGGAAGTGGCATGTGATTAAGGCGCTGGGTTCCCACATGGTCAGCTACGGTTTGATTCCCAGACCTGGTGACTGAAAATCACAGCAGTGTTTGTATATGCCCAAAGTCTCAGGGGGAGAATGGAGAAGGGATTTCAGAGTGGCCATCCCCCCGGGGGTGATTTCTTACTTCCCTCTCTCCAGCAAGCACGTGCGCTTTATGGCAAAAACCTTAATTAAAATAAAAGAAAGAAAAAAGTTGACTATGACTATAAGCTTCCTAATAGTACCATTTTTTCTTTAGATTACTATTTCATTTACTTTTAGTATATAATTCAAAACATTGTAAACATAACTAAATTTGTATTCCTTATTTGCTCATTACTGGGAGAATGGAGAAGGGATAGCACCTGTCCCCTTTCTTAGTGAGTGCGGACACGGCAGTGCAGAGTGCTCGGGTGTCTTACCGGAGACTCTGGGGCACCAGGATGGGGTGTGGCCTGGCTCAGCCCCCTCTCCAAAGCCACTGCCGTCCGCCGAGCCCACAGGTGCCCACAGACACAGGACTCCTCCGCGGCACAGCCTGTTTGTGAGCATCCCACTGGGATGCCACACTCCCTTCCCGGATATTTCCATGTAACCTTGGACAAGAGCAGTCCTCAGTGCGTGTCAGAGCATACTAAGGTCAGAAATCCTAGTTTTCTGGGGTGCAGTGTGACAGCACAGCAGGAAACCCCGCTGCAGGGCTACGGGGGACGGCGAGGTCACACATCACAGTTCCGAAGTACCACGCGAGGTCAGTTTCCGGTCGTGTGCACAGGCCCATGGGACACTGTGGGCTTCACGTTGCAGTCGCTCAGCTCACGCTGTCCCCTCGTGTCTGCGCACACGTTCCAAACCCACCATGTCTGCAGTCTGGACACTTGAGGCCCAGCGTTTCGGAAGACCCGTCTGCGGGCCGAACACAGCCCCCTTTTCCCCCAGTGATGGAAAAGAGTAGGTGTTTCTGGCGCGCGGTGCAGAAGAGCTGACTGTACGGTGAAATGGGAGTAGGGTGTGAAGTACCGCACACTGTCACGTGGCCCTGAGAGAAGTCCGATGTCGAGTCTTAGGAAAAGTCATGTCGTGCTTTTCTGTGCAGAATTGCATCACGGCTGTTCCCACGACCCGTAGACTTGTTATCTGTGACTTACCTGCTGTATACCCCAAATACGGTCGTCCAGAAAATGCCCTGCTAGTTTTAAAAGTATTCGCATTACCTGTGTGGGTCAGGTTGGTGGGAAGTAAGTCCTGTTTCTTGCTAATAACTCTCAGGGATGAATATTTGAAAGAGCTGAAAACTAACTTTTCATTAAATGCATGAAGCACGTATGTAAGTTCAGTAACAGAAACTGACCATCAGTAGAGCGTGGTGCACACGGGCCCACGCGCATTTGGAACACAGGAGCACACGTGGTCCCCACGCCCACCATGGTAAGTGGGGGACAGAGGTATTAGGGACTCGCCCCAGACAGGCATGGGCAGCAGGCCCGGACGAGCGTCCCCTGCCGTCCCTGCTGCGGCTTCACTCCTCGGCTCTCCGGACTGGCTTATCCTCGGGGCCCTTCCGACGCAGCGGGGACAGCATGGAGGCCGAGTTGTGTGACCGAAGGCTCTTGTCACCGCTACCTTTCGTCTCTCCCAACTGAGAACGTTCCAGTGAGGACCACACCTGCTTCTCGCAGTGTGGCCAGCTGGGACGTCTGTGTCAGGGTCTGGGTTAGCAGGCCTTGCTGAGTCACAGGGGACAGGGTGCCCCCGTTAGTTCCTGAGTGGGGGCTCCGGGCAGCGTGTCCTGGAAGGCGTGCG